AACTTCAAAGGCAGCACAAATGTTGCACTCAGTCTGCTCCCATTAAAATCCATGAAAGTTCCCCCATGAACTTTGATAGGAGAACCTTATATTCAGAAAGGCGTACATCATTGAATTCAGACAAAACACATGTAAGAGACAGAGTTGTGACAAAGCTGGTGTTTTCAATAGTGTTGTAGATATACATAGTGCCTTACTCAACCCCCATCCTATTTGGCAGGACTGTAGAAACCCAAAAGAATAACACATGAGCAATGTGGGTGAAAAAAAAAAAAAGTAAAAGATAAGGAGGGAAACCCCTATGACTTATTGTGGTCAGTACTCACTGTGCAACTCCATATGGCCCAGCTGCCTTTCCCTTAGAAGAACAAATGCACAGCTATGTAGGAAATACTTGCTTTTTAACAGCTCAGTACCTCTTCCTGTGCCCACACATAGTCCAGTGCTTAAAGAAACATCCACACGTGAGGAAGGGATCAAGCTGGAAACACTTTATGCTACACACCCTTGTATCCCATCTCATGTAAGCTGGGAGTCATCATATGACTACAGCCTGGGAGGAATCTCAAAGGCCTCCACCCGCAGCCAGTAAGGCACCTGGGGCAGAAAACGAGTTTAATCACACTACACAACTGAAAAGAGGAGCACAGGACTTGTGAAATTTTGAAGGAGTATGATAGCTACTGTGACAAACAATATGACTTTGACTACTAAACAGGTTTCCAGCCATAAGACCTGAAAATAACTAACTAAATAGAACCTGAAGTGAAGGTAAGGTCAAGCTAGAACACACCTTAAAAACTGGAGAAAGTTGAATGTGGGCCCGGAATTAATCAGACAATGCTGGGACAGGAGGGAAAGGAACCACAATCAACATGATAAACATACTTCAAAATGTGAATACAAAGCTAAGGTTTGGTACTGTCAGACACTAAGGTGCCTGTGTGGATTCACACGTACGGGTCATCTTTCCCATAGTAGGAATGCTGTTAAATTGCCACTTTAAAATGGGTAGGCACTGCAGAGAGAACACAAGACACTTGTTGGCTCAATGAAAGCCAGTAAGACTTTTTAATAAGACAAGTCCAAATGATTTAAATAGCACTTAAATGAGAATCAATGCCTCTACCATTTTACTCTTTATCCCTTTTAAACTCATTAATGTCAGTCACTTCCCAGCCACAATAGCTTTGTGACCAAGGCCATCTACTGGTGAGCGAGCTGTGCAGATTAATGGGGGTTTTGTTGGCCACATTTAATTAGTGCTTGTCAAGATTTAGATGCAAGCATTGAAACTGTGCCAAGCAGCTGTTTACAGTTGAGCAGCTTCAGTAATTAGTAAACACGACCACAGTTTTGGATGAACAAATAAATGAATAAGGCTTCCCCAACTCCACGTGAACCTAAAGAACCATGATTTCACCCAGGAGAGAAGAATGTGGTACTTTCAGTCTACATCCCCAGTTCAAGCATAGTCCAGGCATCTTGTGACCTCATTGTTCTGTGTAACAAGAACCAGAAACGTCAGCGTTGCTAATAGAGATATCAATTTTACCCTAAAAATCACTACCAGACCTGGTAGCAGTATTTGCAAGAATTACTGGGGTCTGAATGAAGAAGTTTGCAGGCTAAAACTGCAAATATTTTAAATCAGCGCGTATGAGGATTTATAGGCTGTACACCTTAATTACAATTGTACTTGTCCTCCTGACTTAAAGCAACAGAAACGGAAATCGGGCAGGGAGATGGAAGGGAAATAAAGCACACCCAAATCCTTACACGCTGTGACTTCCAGGGTGATGTCCGAGACAAATCAGCAAGAGAATTTGGGAGCACTAGCATGTGTGACAGAGATCTCCACGCTGTTCCCTGTTCAGCATCATTACTCCTAAATGATGAAGATGTTTCTAACAAAATACTTTCTTCAGCTCTTTTTAAAAATTTGGTAACACTGAAGTTAGTATTACGATTTTTAGAGTAAGGTGTTTGAATGGCAGCACTGGAAATCCCAGATTACAAGACAATATTCTCCTCCATCTTTGCCTTTAAGTTTTAGATCAAGATGAAGCAAACTTAACTCTTTACTCTTACTCATCCTTTTTGCCATGAGAATTTGGGACAACCTTTATAGCATATAGAAATGTATTCACTAGGAGCTAGCTTGAAGACATTAAACATAGGTTTGGGTAGATATATTTGGCTGGCAACGTAGAAACTAAAAGTTCCTCTTTTGACTGAACATGCGACATGGAAGGAAAGTATTTCCACAAGAGAAAATGTGGATATCATAAGATGACAAACAAGCTTCACTGACATTGCCTTCAGTCTGATTAATTCCTATGATGATCAGATTTACGACAGAGAATTTATGGATGGCAGGTCAAAAGGAGGCAAAGCTTCCTGTAAACTTCAATGTCCTCTTCTTGAAGATGGACATTTGTACATTCCTTCCAAGTTGGGTTTGGGGTTGTTTTGGAGGATTTTTTTTTGAGTGGGGTGGTGGTTTTTTTTTCTGAAGCCAAGATTAGACTGTAAATTCAGTTTAATTAAGTCAGTTTTAGTCACTATGTAAGCAAACTACTTTCCAGGACAGTAAGCTTAGTAATTATGTGCCCTTCCAATTTATTTTTGGTGCAATAAGGCCATGGGTAGTTCTGCATCTGAAGGAGATTTGTAGTCTCCAGTATAATTTTTTTAATTAAGATTACAGGGGAAAACACCCCAAACATCCACCTGCTGCCCTCCCTGCCCCAGAACCCACAAGACAAATACAATTTTGAAAGAATAAAATAGTGCACGTAAATTTCCAATGACTTTGTTTTTTTTTTCAGCAAAACTGTGTTATAATCAATTTGGAGTATGTTCACATAAAGTCACAAATTTATAGTGAACAAAACAAAAAAATCTTTTTTCCTTATTAGTCATACAGAAGGGGCTGCTGTCTTTGCTTCCAAAAATAGAGCAGTCACTAGTAAAAGAGCAATCCCACATCGGTCGTGACAGAGACTCCCATTTTGATATATCCAATAAAAAGATACTAATAAAGTAACTCAAATTAAAAATTAAGATATGCCAGCATTTCTAGATAGACCTCTGTATCCTGGTTTTAGCTGGGACAGAGTTAGCTCTTCTTTTTAGCAGCTAGAAGAGCTCCGTGTTTTGGTTTTAGTCTGGAACTTGCTCTGAGAAGAATGCTGCCAGCACACTGATGTTTGTAGTTCGCACTGAGGTCTCAAGGACTTTTCAGCTGCTGTGTTCTTGCCAGTGTGCAGGAGCACAACAGCATAGGGGGGAGCATGGCCGGGACGGGGAGTCACGACTCTTCTTACGATTTGTACTTGAATTTAAGATTGAGGGCCAAACTGGCCAATTAGTATTCCATATCATGCAGCATCATGCCCAGTATAAAAGTGAGGGACAGCCAGAAAGAAGGGCTTTTGCCCTTCCTGGAGTCTCACTTTCAGACTCTCGGGGTGCTTTCTCTCTCTCCCCCTCTCTATTTCAGGGCCTTGCATTCGTCCAGGATTGCAGCTTCGGGACGAGACGGGCTTTGGATACGAGGGGGTGGTGAGCATCTACTCTGTGTAGTAACTATCTGTATTAAATTGTTCTTATCTCAACCCATGGGTTGAGATAAGAACAATTTATCCTTTTAATAAACCCTTTTTCTCCTTTAATTCTCTCCCTCATCCCTGGGGTGGGGGAGGGTGAGTGATCAACTGTGTAGGGTATGGTTGCCAGAGCAGCCTAACCCACGACACTCTGTTACTTTAATGTGAAAGTAGACAGTCCTGAATATAAAGATGAATTCACTGGCTTTTGTCTTCTTTTGCTCCATAATAATGACCTCTCTTCTAATTGCATCTGCACACTTCACTAGTGTTCTGCTTTTCTCCTATTACTATGTTAAATACAGCTGATGGCAGCTTCTTGCAGCACATCATTCAGTGGCCAAACTAGACATGCTACCACTTAGCATCACACCAGCAAACAGCCCACAGAATAATAACCGTTTTTCGCCTTGCCTCAAACTCTTCCAGACTGACTGCAGATAAGATGGCTATATGTAATTTTAAACACAGACTTTTGTTTCTCCCCTGAAGGCACTCTGTCATTACGGAACTTTGTCCAGAGGACGAATCACAAATTCTCCATTATAAGGCCAGACTGCTGCTGCTAAGGCAGAGCAAAATACCATAATTATTTTGCCAAGATTTGACATAAAAACTTGTTGATAAGCTTCCATCATTCTTCTCATTAAATCACTACATCAAAAGAGCTGAACCATGGAAAATTTAATCTATACTTTTCAATCACAACTACTGTGAATCACAGTAATTACACTTATTTTACACTTTCAAAACACTGCACAAATCTCTACACCATTGCCTGGGTAGAAAGTTAGCTTTATCTTTAAAGTTGAGATAAGGGATTGAAAAAATCTGTTATGATAATCTTCTGTTGATCTGCATATAAAAGCTACTTACACCACGGATCTCATGTTCCAGAAACACAGATAATCTGAGAATTGGGAAATTCATAAACTGCAACATCAAATTTTAATGATTTGCTCATTTCTTCAATAAGCATTTCAAACAGAGGATTTAATTTAGTTTCACTGTCAGGTCCTGTTTTAAATTCATGTTTTCACCTGATTTTTCTTTCACAAACCTCTAAACTTGGAATTACCTGTATGTTATTGAATTGAAAGGAATGTTGTTTTTATTTTTCAAACTATATATAGATATCTCTTTGATCCATTTTCCCAGTGCGATGCTAAAAGTTTTTTCTTACTTCAATCCTGTACCAAATACTGATAATGGCTCTAACTTTCTTAATCTCAAATATATTCAAAAGCAAGATTACCTCAGAATGAACTGCTGGGCTAGACAATCTAAGAAGTCCATCTACCTCTATTTCATCCTGCATATTATTCAGTTATATATTGTACAGTCCATAGGGAAAAAAAAACAAACCACACAAGCATATGAAAATAACTCAGAAGGGCCACCTGCCATGAAAGTGTTGTTTATCTTCAAGCAGTACCATTTCTTCTCAGAATGTAAGAAGTTGACACACCCGTAACGCCGGCCGGCCTGTGTGAAACTGCGCTGAGTAAAGGCCTTGGATGAGCATTAGTACCGACTAAATTTGTACTTGGCTGTTCCAGGCAAAAGGCTTTATTGTAAGCTGCAGCACAGTGTAAGTTTCAGAAACAGTTTTGGGAAATCAAACATACAAAATTCATCCCTCTTTCAGAGGAGACGGCAGGAAGGGAAAAAAGAACCCAGAAAAGAGCCTAGTATTTGTTACATCAGAACATTTACAATGGTACTTAAAAAGGCTGTAGAAGATATTTATTCTAATAGCCTTGGATGTTCAATTCGTGTAATTGTCCAGTCTGGTTTTGCTCCTTCTGTAAATTCCCTTTGGAACCTGGAAAAGAAAAGGCAGTAAGTGAAGAGTTGTTAAAATTTACTTGATCCTTAAAGAGCTACTAACACCAACAAGAAATCATGAAGAAATATTTTACTTCAAAGTTATTCCTTAGACTTTGATGCTGATGCTCTGAAGGGAACCTACAGGAAGGCTGGGGAGGGACTTTTTACAAGAGTGTCCACTGATAGGACAAGGGGAAATGGGTTTAAGTTGAAGGAGAACAGATTTAGATTAGATCTTAGGAAGAAATTCTTCAGTACGAGGGTGGTAAGACTTGGGAATAAATTGCCCAGAGAAGTTGTGGATGCCCCCTCCCTGGAGGTGTTCAAGGCCAGGTTGGACGGAGCCTTGAGTAGCCTGGGCTAGTTGAGAGGCGTCCCTGCCCATGACAGGGAGGTTGGATTAGATGATCTCTGAGGTCCCTTCCAGCCTATGCCATTCTATGATTCTATGATTACGCTCCAAAATGGAAGATTAAAATTAATTCTACAGTAAGAAACAAAAGTGCACTGACTTGAGAGTGTTTTGGTTCAGATCCCACAGGCAGGATCAAGCAGCAAGAGTAAAGACCCTGATATAAAGAGAGCACTCAGTTTTCATAGCAGTAAATATAAATATAGCTTTGTGGCAGATTTTCATCCCTAAATAAAGGGTTTCATTTAATGGGATGGTAACTGTAAAAGGATAGGACATTTTCCACATTCTTCCTGAAATTTTTCATTTTTCCTGAAGTATACTTTAAAAAGTAATATATTTTCAGAAATACATCAAAGATCAAGCTAGCAGTAGTACCAAATCTCCCTGAAAGAAAATTCTGCAGTTGTTGACAGGAAAATTAAAACATCCACTCCTATTTTCAAAGAATCTTCCTCTTTCTTTTGTAGTCATTAATGCCTTCCTCTCTGTGCATGTTAGTTTTGACTGCTTGTCATCTAAAGAAAAGTCTGAGCTTCAAGCTGAAAATTCATGCTCCCAAGTAATCTGCATATTGTGGACAAGAACAGTATAACCTCATTGCTTTGCAATTAAATGCAAATTCACTCCTGGAAATTGTCTTCTCCAGACACCCAAATACTTAACACTAGGCTTCCAAGGCCTGTAGTATCTTTGCCCATTTCAGTTTAGATTAGCACTGTAAACAGCAGAAGGAACACATACTTGCAAAGATGCCTCTCCTGGGGATTAGGAACAGATAGGTAGGGCTTTCAGAGGAGGTTCTTGAGGTTAATGGAGCCTCAGAAGCCTCCAACTCTAAAAAACATGCTGAATTTGGCTAAGGGATGGATCCACAAAAATCCATCCAGGCAAAAGCACTGGTGTCCTCAGAGTGCTGCCTTTGTTTCAGAGCTCCCGATCATCTAGACCTCATAGTCTTTCCATTGCAAACATGAGCATAGAAGTCATTGACTATATCACATTTCTCTCACAAAAATCCCCCCTTTTTCCAACTTCTGTGAATGTTATTTTCCATACATTTTGCCAACCATGCAGATATTTCTGTGCTGCTTTGAGATCAGTACACTAAACATTCTTCACAAACATTTCTATGAAAATCCATCTACCTAACATGTGCTTTGAGGGCTTGGATCAGTGGCATGAATTATCTGAACACCAGGTGATGCCTGCTTTGTTCTACCTTTCTGCAGAAAGCATATGGCTAAAAAATTTTCTCTTTCATGAGCTACTTTTTCAGCCAATTGTGGTTCTAACTTTTGTGTGGGAAGTGACAAGTCAACAGCACCACACTTGACTGCTTGGCTTGACTTATTTCTTGTAGCACCGCTAACAGCAACTGGGAAGCAAGGACTGATATTGGCCTACTTCCTGAAAGCTGCAGGAGCAGTAAAGGATCAGAAACCTCATTCAATGCTCCAACTATTTCTCTTCCTGACAGAGAAAGCGTTCTCTTTAATCTCAACTCAGAAGCAAGGTAATGAGATAATGACTTTAAGGGGTATTTTAAAAAAACTGGCCCCAGAATAAAAACTCAAAAACTGGATGAGAACTAACTGCGACTAGAATCAAGGTAAATTAAAACATACCAAGTTCTGCACTGGCACAGTGTGAATGCTTTCAGTTTCCAAACTAGTTTCCACACAGCTAGGCCATGCACATGGAGGAAAGAAAAAAAAAAAAAAGGAAAAAAAGGACAAGTAAACTTACTCATAGTTTGCTGTTAAAAGATGTCTTTTTTCTTTTGTGCTTTCATCTCCAAACACAATCTGGAAAACTTTGGTTTCACCTGGTACTTCATCAGGTAGGTTAGCACCATTCAGATACCAGAAACGCATGAGGATCCTAACAAACTTTCTTCCTGTTGGAAATAAATCAAAGCATAAGGTAGATCTTTTTCTCACTGGTCAAATACGCCTATTTGCTATGTAGCATATATTCTAGTGAGACTCTGGAAGGGCAGCTGACTTTAGCCATAAAGAATGCATGATAGAATAATGAACAATAAAGCTATTTAAAGCCATATTCATGCTGTTTAGCAACGATAAAAATACACTCTGTAAAAAGGTATGTATTTTATCATGACTGTTGCGTGACATCATACATTATCAAACCATATGAAAAAAGCTGGTTACCACAAGGTCCAAAGCCAACTACTGATCGTACAAAAGTACGTAGAGTAGCTGAAACTCAGGAGTAAACTAAGAGGAAAAAAAAAAAAAATCCCTATCCTCCAAAACAGGAAATAAGCTCACTGGGTCTGACAATTGGAAATGCTCCTTGGAAGACCCATGGTCAGACTATAAATCATCTCAACTGTGTCTGATAGTGAACTGAGCACGTAACACTGAAAGAAAAACTTGTCTGAGCTCATCACTAGCTTAAAAAAATAACAATCAAGAAGTCCGAGAACAAAGTGTATTCCATGAAAGCAGAATAGTGGTGAAGACAGCAAAATTTATTTCATTATCCAGCCTTCACTATTCTTCTTGCAAGATATGTTTTCATTGGCGAAGCAACAGCTTTCTCCATATGGTAGAATAATTGTTTTTGAGTGGTTTGAGATTGCAAAGGACTAATAATGCAAAAATCTGAAATTACAAAACAAGAGGAATGAGCAAGACCTAAACAGAAGTCAAAACAGTACCATGACTTACTAACAATAAACTCTCAGGTTCTTGTTTAAAAGGAAAACAGGGAATTATATATAGATGAACTATAAACAGAAGAACAAAGAACAAGAAACAGTACTCAAAACCACATCTGTAAGGAGAAGGCCTGCTTAGTAGCAAAACCAGAAAATAAGACTGCCGTGGCTGAAATGCATTAGAATTCTAAACATACCATCATCATCATAGTAAATGCGAACGTCTCCTTCTGTTGTGTACATAATTGCATCAAGGTCAGCTGCTAAAGCATCTCTGTGGTTGTCAGGGAGCAAAGAAATCTTTTCCTTCAACACCTGAAGTACCTAAATTCAGAAAAACTGTCAATTTTTCATTAGAAAATAAAAGTAGCAATCTTTTCTACTGCAGCTAATACCAAACCCTAGTTCAGCAATACTAACGAAGATTCATTTAATGCTCAAACCAATGAACATAAAGTATTTACGTTTAGAAAAGGTACTGTCAAAACAGCAGTTGCAAAGCAAGGCATGTCAGCCCAGAAAACACCAGTTAAGCTTGCTTCCACATATTTACACTCTGCCTTCTCACTGCTGATTTCTCGCTATGTGTATATTCCTTAGCTTTTGATTCAATTATTTCTTAACTAACTTTCACACATTTCTTTGAAAATCAGTTCCAGTACCACTAAATCTATCTTTGCCATTTTGTGATCCACATTTCCATTAGAGAAAGTTCATACACAACCAGAAGAGAATGAAAAATCATTGCTCTGGGACTAAAGTTCCATATTGTATTCATATCCGTAGTATTTGAGTGTCCTAAGATCTACACAGCTGTGTTAAGCAGAAAACGGGTGTGGTGCATGAACTGAACAGAGGCATCATCTCAAACACCATGTCATAAGGAAGGACGAAGCTGTGCAGCACTTATTTTTAACTCATACTCAGTTTTTAGTCTAACTTGAATTGCCATTTTTGAGCAACAGACATCCAGCTGTCACATGGAAGCAAGAGGTGATCTTCACTGGAAGATACCAGTTTCTAGTACGTTTTGCAGGTATAAAATTGACTGGCCAAAGCAACAACAAAGTATTGTGGTATCACAGCCTCATCCACTGCATGCTCTGGTTACACGAGGTCTCTGGATCAATGTTAACTGGATCATCTGAAGAATTTAAGATGAGCAGAAGAAGAGGAGATGCTCTTTCAAAACAACTTGAAGAAACAAACTCACATTTTATTGCTATCTCTGCTCAGAGAGAGGAGGCAAGATTGTCCAGTGGGGATGCACTAGAATAGCACCAAAACTTTTGCTGCAAAGGCATGGGTGGCAATAGGGCAGGCCAAGCTGACATCCAGTAACAAGGCAGACATAGACCTGAAGTATCTCCTCCACTTGACTCTGATGCATCTGCTACCTCCGTCCCCTGGGAAGGCCAAGACAACTTCAGCAATTAAAAACTCATAAAAGCACAGAACACACACCACTGATGTTTAACTAGCCAGGTCAGCCATATCCCTGAGACTGAGGCCTTCCAGCCAAAACCAGTAATTGGCTGTATGATCTGCTTGGGGATGGGAACGTATTAGTGCAGCAGGGATGAGCACAAGCTACTTCCTTTCTTCATCTAAATTCTGGTGCACAGAACAAAAGCGTCAGCTATCTGCCTATGCCAACAGAGGTATGCAATTCCACCTGCCATCCAGAACCCACCACCTTTCAATCCTTTCCAGTACACCAGCAATCTTTTTGGCAATTGGTCCTTATGCTTTCATGCCTTGAAATTAGACATAAAAAAGCTAGGGGACAAACGATTGCCCTGTTCCGCGTTTTGCTGTTTTTCCCAAATTAAATCAAACTAGCAGTATTTGTAGATAATGACAGGCTGAATACATATTACTTCATAATGGAAAATCAATTGCTAGAGTAAGAAATGGAAAGCATTTACCTCTGCTGACACAAGCTCATCCAGCAGGTCAAGTTTATGCTGAGATAGCAGCTTTGAAACAACAGAAAAGGCCTATCAAAAAAAAAAAAAAAGAAAGAAAGAAATACATGAACAAATAACACTAGGTTGGCTTATCTTTCAGACAAATTCATCGTGTGACAACCTACCTAAATATTCCATGATTTAGGATTTCAATGTTTGCAGAGTAAACCACCATTGAAATGGAAGCTCTCCAGCATTAAAAAAGTGATTCCATGAACTGATAAAAATATAAGGTTTCTTTTCAGTCTCTCATTTAAAGCATCAAACCTTTTGAAAACAGGCAAGTGAATGCATGTCTTACTAAAAAAAAAAAAAGCATTACAGTAATCTATATAAGTTGTTTTTACTCTTTTTGATAATTCAACAGTCTATGTTTTTCCCCCTAAATATTCTGTTCCCCTGCCCCTTTTCCCAGCTCATCTCCTGGTTTCAGTCAAAACAGAAGCTCCAGTTTATAAAATGTCTTTATAAATCTTGTTTAGTCTCTAAACTTCAGGAAAATCAACTCCCCTTTTCCCTTAAATTTTGCAGGTACATTTACATACAATAACGCCCCTACATATTCAAATAGCGTACTTGTGAAATGTTGACAGAGTGTTTAGGACCCTACAGCAAGTAAAAACAAACAAACGAAAAAAACAGGGCAAGATAAAACAGGTGGTTCTGCACACATGACAACTAATTTGGCATAGGTGTTTTTTTCTCTCTTGACTTGATCTTAAGTATTTTAACATTCTGTCCCCTACCACCTGGTGTGTTGTTTTGAGCTTTTTTGTTTGTTTTAAATTAAATACAATAATTGAAGTTTCACAGCAGGTAACTCTGTAATTTTTATATGATTAGCCTTGGGATCACTACCTCTTTGACATGTTGTGTCTTGGATGAGGGAATAGAGTGCACGGTCAGCAAGTTTGCTGATGACACCAAACTGGGAGGAGTGGCTGACACACCTGAAGGCTGTGCTGCCATTCAGAGAGACCTGGACAGGCTGGAGAGTTGGGCGGGGAGAAATTTAATGAAATACAACAAGGGCAAGTGTAGAGTCTTGCATTTGGGCAAGAACAACCCCATGTACCAGTACAAGTTGGGGACTGAACTGTTGGGGAACAGCACAGGAGAAAGGGACCTGGGGGTCCTTGTGGACAGCAGGATGACCATGAGTCAGCAATGTGCCCTCGTGGCCAAGAAGGCCAATGGCATCCTGGGGTGTCTTAGAATGGGTGTGGTTAGTAGATCGAGAGAGGTTCTCCTCCCCCTCTACTCTGCGCTGGTGAGGCCACATCTGGAATATTGTGTCCAGTTCTGGGCCCCTCAGTTCAAGAAGGACAAGGAACTGCTTGAGAGAGTCCAGCGCAGGGCCACAAAGATGATTAAGGGAGTGGAGCATCTCCCTTATGAGGAAAGGCTGAGGGAGCTGGGTCTCTTTAGCTTGGAGAAGAGGAGACTGAGGGGGGACCTCATTAATGTTTATAAATATGTAAAGGGTGACTGTCATGAGGATGAAGCCAGGCTCTTCTCAGTGGCATCCAATGATAGGACAGGGGGAAATGGATGTAAGCTGGAACACAGGAGGTTCCGCTTAAACATGAGGAAGAACTTC